TATCTCGGCGAGCATCTCCGGCTTCTATGTTATGGTTCGACCATCGTGTGTTGTAAGCTTCGTCAGGTGGCTCCTTCGAAGCTGCTGAGTGAACACTTTGGACCCACGGTTTCGTAGCTCCGAAGGTCGCGCCATATCATCTTCGCAATTTTCTTGTTGAGGTCTGATCGCTCTGCGCATTTGCGTACATTCCGTAACAAATGTTTTAACTGGTTATTGTCTGGGCAACCCCTTGGAGGTAGGCACTGTAGTGTAGTTGTGTATGGATAGTGCTCTGTGTGTAATACTAAGATCTGTATAATTATAGGAAACACTCGGGGCGGCTCACCTAAGGTGGCTCATGGCTCATTAGCCTATGGAGAACCGGATGAAGTCCGTGTAAACGGGCTGATCCGGGGTTGGGGCCTGACTTAGAATGTGCGGGTTCGCTCGCACGGGTCATGGTGCCCTTCCCGCATAACCAAGAGGTTGATAGAGAGGGGCACTATAAACAAAACTTATGTAGGAGTATGTGGGACTGTGTTATTAAACTGTGTGTAAAGTAGATTATTTAATTAATTGTTGAAAGATATAAACGATTTTATTATTATACAAACGCAACAGTAACACTATCGAGTATCGCAAGGTATTCTCATTGTTGCAACCTCCAATATCTCCGATTGTAAAGTTTCCACTATTATTCCAATATTATTTCATTTTCAAAACTCAAGTCCATTGTCGCTATAAATATATGAAAAAAACTCTATTCTTTTTTATTCTATACACGCTCCATTGTCTCCTGTAAGGAGGAAGTATGGAGGCCAATATAGGTAGTAGGTCACCAACTGTGAGGGATCTTTATGGACAGTAACCTATTTCATTTGATTTAATGTCGATAAAGTTGCTACTGTAATAGAATTGTATAAATGAGCGCCTATCAAATTAATCGAAGCAATTTATACAGTCGTCGTATTTAAGAGTAATTTTATTGCTATTCGCAGTCAACAGGCGTTTTTATATCAAATCCGGAGTCTGATTTGTCCTACTGTATTTTCATTGGTAGTGTTTTATATAATTATTGTAGGTTGTTATTATTACTACGGCTTCTGTTACATTTAGTTCTGTACTGATGCATAATAATAATTCTTCAACTCTACTATAAAAGAAACATGACGTCATGATATAAAAACCATTTTTTTAAATTTAATTTATTTATTGCACAGGATTTAATAAAAGGAAAACACAAACAAAAGGAATTGCTTATTTCTATAAATAATATTTCTTCCTGCTGAAGTTTTTTGCCTTGTAAAATCTTCAATAACGGGCTTACGTGCACAAAAAAAACAAAATTACGTGATACAATATTAATAACATTGAACTAGATAAATACTTTGATAAATACATATTTCGTAATATAATACCCATTATATAGATAGAACAGTACACAAATAAAGCTCCTTAACTTTCAATTTAAAAGTAACTAACGATGTACTTTCGTGAACAGAAATAGAAAGTACGTTCCAAAGTCTGCCTGCATGAACAGTGAAGGAGTGAGAATATAAACCGAAATTGAAGGAAGGAAAAAATACTGCGACCTAACGAGAGAGCGAACGGGTTTCTCCTGAGACCTGAGAAAGCTGAAACGTTCTTTCAGATACTTGGGAGACGAAGAGTTATGAAGAATATTGTAGAGAACAGAGACAATATGAACACTTGAGTTGACTGCGATTGTGTGAGCTTCGGTCAAATTTACGAAGGCCGAAAATAAACCTGATACATAGACTTTCCGACCACTCAAGCTTATTTAGCAGTTCTTCTGTGGCATCTAATTCGCAGTTATCGGCAGTCTAAGAAGGGTAAAATATGAGATTAAGCGAATGCAAGGAAAAATGGACTGACTTCATCAATATGAGGTGACCAAGCCAAATTGCAATCTAAAAAGACTATTATGGAAAAAATGTAGGTACACGATTTTCAATGACATGGATTGGTTAAGGTAGGATAAAAAATTAAGTAAACGTTGACTAAAACTTGGCAAATAGATGTAATTCCACGTACTTTTGAGGTCGGTTTTTTTAGTATCCTGTACTGTGAATATTGTTACAACAATCGGATGTGCATAGACTGATAGAAGTACGCAAAGAGATACTTAAATTACCAATTTCAATCGCACTCTTCCATTTCACTTATTTTGTTTTTGTTTCACCGTTTCGTAAGTTATACCCTCATGAAATGTTATTGCGGCTTTGGATTTTCGGACTATTGTTCACATCGACTGCAGCTGACATTTACATACATTTAGTTAAGCATTAACATGTTGTGTCATACATTTTACGTGTTAGCAACCTAAACGTTCAGTCCAATAATGTGTGAATGTACGATGTACTCTGGCTTTCGTCATCATCATTCAGCCATACGACGCCCTGGGCCTAGGCCTCCCCCAACGATCTCCACGACGATCGGTCCTGCGCTGCCCGCGTCCATCGGCTTCTCATCTCAAATAGCTTTGATTGATTTCGCATAACGGCGACAGTGTTGAGTCTACTACTTTGGAAAACTTATATAGTTAAATGGATGATATATACTGATTAGTATACGGTGTGAAAACATGATTCTTAAAAATACAATGTTCTTAAAAATATGTACTTTACATACACCAATGACTTTTTTTTTATATCAACTAGAAGAAATAGAACATATAGTACACGATATACATTTGTCAAATGGCTCTAATTTAGCTTTAAAAAAATAAATTCTGATATAAAGTCCCTGCTGCTCGACCCAAGCAAATTGAACTGTATTAGTAAGGGAAAAAACTTAATTTAAGCTGAGATGGTATCGACTGGTATCGGCAATCTTAATATAGCAACATATATACATTGACCCCTAAATAAATTAATTTGTGACTTTGTGAAGATGACTATCAAAAACATCAAGTTTATTTTCATTCCTCGTATTGGTGTTGTGTTTGTCACTATTTATCACGAAAAAATACTATTATTTTTTAACATACCTAAATTACATACAACACGCCTACGACGTATCGTACGACAATATACGACGTATCACAATCTACTCAAGTCGATAAGTCTGCGACCGAGATAACTTCCCCAATTCTTTCTCGTTTGGTTATTTTTTCATTTACTCAGGGCGTTTATCTTTCCTTCAGGTTTTGTCATAAATCAGGAGACTAGGAAGGTGATTGCGGCAGTGTTGCCAGATGGACACATCTCTTACATTTTCGTAACTTTTGACATTCTAGTGTAATATGTTTAAGTAATTTATGTTTTTAGGAAATTTTCGTTACTTTTGAGAGCGTTGATATTTATTAAATTCAACTTACATTTCATTTGTACAATTTTATCCAAAAAATTAATAGACTGTCTTTTTATATATTAACCCAAGGACCGGCAGCTACCTTGCCCAACGCATTAGCACAGCCATACAAAGGAAGTACACAGCCAGCATCTTGGGCACATTGTCAAATTTTATTAATATACTTAGTTAGTCCTAGTTTTTCCTTAAGCTTTTATTGTAACTTACCTGTATATTGCAACTTATTGTCTTATACTAATATTACAGTTATTAATCCAAAGATCAAATACAAACAAAAAATAATTCGAACCAGCGCCTTCACAATACCGTGGTTGACGCTCTCCCAACTGAGCTACGGAACGAACTAGCGGACCTTACGAATTTTTTTATGTGCTTGTTGCAGATATTTGTTACCTTTTTTATGTGGTACCTTTACAGCTAGCAGCAGTTGAATATAATATACTGTCATCAAAGACTTTGTATGAGTCTGTTTGTGCCACGGTAATGGCCTTCGCTGACTGATTACATGGTATGTGGTTTGATAGGAATTGGCAGCACGATTATTATGGTGTAGTGTCATTGTGTATGGTAATTTTAGTGACATACTGTGACATTCCTTGTCACAGTCACTCGCCCGTGAAACGGTAATAATGGGATCCTGATGTTAACTTACGATGTCATGTTAATTCATTAAATAATTTTTAGGTTCAGGCAAAAAATCATTAGATCGTATGCACTTTAATCGATATTCATAAAAATCGTATCATGTTGGGTGTACTTAGTAGTGGCCTATCCTATTGCAGGTTTGGTATTGTGTGAAGTTGCCTGTTTAATATTGTCGACAGAGTTACAAGAATTGGAGAGGATATGGATTATATTTTTCTGTATCTAATGGAGCAATACACAGTTTTGACGCAACTCCACTTATGCCATACTTCCGTGAGGGGTACGATTCTCTATTGTAACATTATCTGTGTCGTATATTAATCGGCTCCCTGTATAATTGTCTAAAGAACATATTGTATTTTGTTTGCAGTAGAAGTACTTACCTATTTCTACCACCAAGCATTAATGTGAGGATTACTGCGTTCCGGTTTTGAAGGGTAAAGGATGCCTATGTATTACAGGCACATGGGACTTTTCAACTTATGTCTCAGGGTGACGGGCGCAGTGCAAGATCTTTGTCTTTTAAATCTCTAAGTGGCACTGGAACTGTTATGGACAGGCGTGTCGCTTGCCATCAGGCGCTCGTCTTGTTCGTTCCGTCACTAAGTATCATAAAAGAAAATGATATGTTCTGTTTTCTCCACAAAATTAATAACATTTTTTTTTGTTCTAAATTTCGTGAACCAGTACCTATCTGTGATACGTAAGTATGACATAACCATCATAACTCGTTTACCGGAGGACTCTAAAAAGGTTTTGAATGCTTATTATATGATTTTTGAACGTTTAGGAAACATCATTTTTAAACCATTGTTCGTTCTAAACCATGTATAACTAGCCTCATAATAATAACTTAGCAGTTAAACGTATGAAGTTAACCGGATAAACGATAAAAGCTGTGTCGTCACTATGTAATTACTTGGATAATGACTGACAAGTCGTGTAAGCACTGCTATTTATTTCGGGTGTGCTACCGCTTCAAATACTCCAGTTTTGTACATTTTTAGTTAAATCTATGAATTTTATGAAGGAGACGGCTGGTGCAATATTTTTTCCAATATAGTGCGAAAAATGTTTATGAAATATATTTTACTCATTATTGCTATTGTAGTTTTACAAAATGTATACGGGGTGAGTAATTTTTTTCTATGGGTTATACCAATCTGCGCTCATAGACGTTAGGAAGTATCCTTAAGGTGGTTTTCCACCGACGAGACTAGGATTGAAATTTGTGTGGCAATATTTCAATTCTCTCCTAGCGTACCTTCGGTGGAAATGGTCTCGATCGACGGGGATGGGCGATGCGAGAATTGGAATATTTTTTTATGTAATATTAAACCGTATTGCTTGCTGCCTACATACATTATTATACTCGGGAACACGATTTTGCTATGGCACAACGGCAAAAAAGTCGTAAAAAAACCTAAAAGAAAGATCTGCAACAAGCATATAGAAAAGTCATAAGGTCCGCTAGTCATTAATAATTATAACAAACTAGTGGAGTTATTTCACAATAATATAATAGAATATCATGGTGTATAACATTGGGATATTCCATAAACTTCATATTACAATTTATAAAGTTATTTAAATTTAAATGGATTTAGGTAATATATTAATTACGTTAGGTATAATAGACTTAATATAATAACTATGTCCGTGAATGAACGGTTACCATCCTCGACGTTGCTTGGAATTTGTGGTTGTCATGTGTGGGCGTGTGTGAGTGTGTGCGTGTGTGAATGTGTGCGTACGTAGCTGATGGACACGACTACAAGAATACAAAAAAACACAAGCGTAGGTATGAGGTTTCTTAAGTTTGTTCGTCCGTGTCTGCTGCTAAGTTACTTACATATTAATATGACTTTTTTACAGTTAAGCAAAGAACAACTGAAGAAAACTTTGGGGCTTATGAAAAAGTCGTGCTTGAGCAAAAGTGGTGCCACAGAAGGTAAAACAATATCCGCTCGAAGGCAGTAACAGTGTGTACAGTAAAATTAAATATCCCCATATTACATATCATCCATATTATGTACCCCGTTTCTCTATATGGATCTAAAATAGAAAGTGTTTTTATAAAAACTGCATAATTACCATTTACGCCCATTTTTTGTTTATGGTATCCAAATAACCCACAAGTCGTACGCTTACAATTGTATTTAAGTTTTTACAAAAATAATTTTATCGACTTAAAAGTCTTACCTAAAAATGCTCTATTTTACAAAAACTACTTATTTCAATAGAATTATCCATTGACTTACAATTATATGGACGTCGGGTCCGCGCTAAAAAGTGTCCGAACTTATAGGGCGTTAAAATCGTATACAGAGCGTCATTCACGCTCTAGGCTTCGTTTGTTCGACTGACAGCGAAGCAAGCAAAATTAGACAGTACTGCGATGACATTACAATTTAAATTCAACGTTTTAGCTTTTTCATATTCCTTTAAATGTCACTACGTTTAAATAGGTTGACTTGGGACATTTTTTTCGTGGTTTTTGTATTAGACCCGTCGTCCATATAATTGTAAGTCAATGGAATTATCAGAAAAACAACTTAAGTAAGTTTTTGTAAAAAAGTCAATCTATCAAAAATGGCGCGAAACAGTGATGTTGTTGTGGGGTAGGGATGTGCATTTAACTACAGACTTTGCGATTTCCAAGTGCTTTCTGTGTAGCTACTGACTAGTTTTTTTTTATAATATCAAGTGTAAAAGTAAATAACACGCCTGTCTATAACAGTTGCAATATGCCACTCAGAGCTTTAAAACGCAAAAATCGGGGGAACACTTTGAAGTCCACTAACTAAAATACGGCTAAGTGACAAATGGTCAATATCCGTTTTAATTAGAAAAAAATAAAGCACAGAATTATCTTTTAAAAACAGTTAAAATTAACGTGTAATTAATTAATTAACTTGTTCAACTTATCGGACCTTACCCTTGCGATAAATAGCTGAAATATTTTTAAACAATTTCGATATTCTAAGGTTATGGTTTTAAATGATATCTCATAATTTTATTTTGTCCCATAATAAGTCCCATGTGCCTGTAATTTTTCCAGTACATTACTGCTTGGCGGCAGAAATAGGTTGGGTGCTCTACTGTTACTTAAAAAGTGCTTCTCCATGGAGAAGTATCAACAACGTACTAACAAAGTGCAATAATTTATATTGAACATTTTATATTGAATCAATATAAGTACTACAACATAAAGAAAACTAGAGTCATTTTTATGCACTAAATAGTAACATTTAATATTTAATAAAATCTGTACATAAGACATAAAAAGGTTAAATCGAGAGCAAAATGAAGACTTATTAAATATAAACCTTAGCGTGAAATTCAACCGGGTCACCCGTGATGCAAATGACTTTGAAACACCTCTCAACCATATATGGAGAAAAACAAGTTAAACGACATTACTGCTCTGGAAAGAAAAACTAAATTTACTCGCTCTCCGCAGGGATACCTTCATCTGAATAGGTGGAGCGAGAAATATTGGTCCTACCTATGAATATAGACAACAAAGTTAAACTTTGTTATACATTTTATATATCTATCTATATTACGTAATTCTTCGACTTTTGTTCGCAGATAAAGTTGCCAGTATTGAACAAGGTGCTTTTCTGGAAGAAAAGAATGTAATGTGCTACGTTATGTGTATATACAAATCTGTTCAAGTGGTAAGTCTCAACGATTATTACGAGTTCCATGCTTGAGATCGAATGCCGTTTGACCGAACATTAATTACACGAAAACGTTTACTCGATTGTCCATTCGACCTACAAATCGTGAGCTAAGGTTTGCCATGCCCATATAAAACATAATACACAACAATGTTTGTAGTCGCATTTTCAACCACTAAGATTCATCGTAAGATTGGGAGGAGGTTGAGAAAGCCCTTAAATGTCGTGTTAAAGTACTCAAGATTAACAGGCGTGTATGAAATGTTATTTGAAAATAAAATTCGTGAATTTTTGTTTTTTCGCAAGTATATTTCATTTAAAAGCAATGGAAACTACAAAGCATAACCCTCTGATGTTATGTTACTCTGACGTATGCCACAATGAAACGTTTAAATATAATCTCAGTACAGAGTACTAAAAAAAACCGACCTCAAAAGTAAGTGGAATTACGTCTATTTGCTATGTTTTATTGAAATATCCCCTAGTTCGCCACTATACAGGACTTGACACTGGGGATAATAAAAATCGGTTCTCACTACTCAAAGTACATTGAGAGAAAAACGCCTTGAATTGGAGAAATAGCAAAATCAACCATTAAAGTAATTGCTCCTAAACTAAAGTTAGGCGCTATTTATAAAAATGAATCTTCATGTGTGAACAGCCACCCTTCGAGGTGGATGCTTTTCTTCAAAATGAAATGGGACCACTATGGAAGTACCCCCTTTCCAACAAAAAAAGAATCATGAAAATCGGTTCACAAATACCGGAGTTATCGCGTAACATACACACAAAAAAAAGAACATACAGAGGAATTGAGAACCTCCTCCTTTTTTGAAGTCGGTTAAAAAGTATAATAATGTCAATGATAATAATGAAATAAATAAATATAAATATTAGACAACATCATACACGTTTAAGGTAGCTAACAAAACCACTTGTGTTATGGACATCGGAAACAACGACGGTACCACCGATTTTGTACATTGACCCGAACCAGAGACGGCGACACAGGTCGTTAATAAAAAAACTTGATGTTCTTTTGCTTTTCTTTTTCTTTATAGGTAAAAGACGATAAACTGAATCTAGAAATGGTGATAAAACAAGTAGATTCGCTATATCCACCAGAAATGCGAAGTTCCGTCAAAAACGCCGTCAATAAGTGCTTGAATGTCCGTAAGTATCTACAGACTTTTCAATATAAAAATATCTTTTTTTATTAAATAAGATACAATAGGTATTATCGGCAATATTTTGTGAAAAAGTTTCCTTTATTCATTGTACGAATTTTAAACGATATTCAAGAATTATGGCAAAGTTAAAATCTGTTTGAAGAAAATGAAAAAGGGCATGGAGCATAGAAGACCTTTAGAGACTGTCAAAATGAGAATAAGGAATACAATAACGCACACGCACACACTCAACTGTACAAATGTAATTAGAAATCATTAGAACGTCGTAACGTTTACAATTTAGATATTTTTCGCAAAATTTTACCTACTTTCCCAGTCTGTCGATAAAACCGTCGACAAGAACTACATGACTATTTAAAATTGTACGAAGACTGTCAACCTTGGAAATGTCATTTTAGTCCATCTTCAAAAAAGACAGACTATAGAAATATAAATTTCACGAGCATTGACTTACAATTATATGGACGTCGGGCTCGCGCTAAAAAGTGTCCGAACTTATAGGGCGTTAAAATCGTATACACGCTTTAGTCTTCGTTTGTTCGACTGACAGCGAAGCAAGCAAAATTAGACAGTACTGCGATGATATTACAATTTAAATTCAACGTTTTAGCTTTTTCATATTCCTTTACATGTCACTACGTTTAAATAGGTTGACTTGGGACATTTTTTTCGTGGTTTTTGTATTAGACCCGTCGTCCATATAATTGTAAGTCAATGTTCACGAGTCCAAAAGGTCGTTTAATCTAACTAAAAGGAGTTTAAGTTCGTGATTATTTTTCTACGAATTTGTATCAATTTTTATGTAAAATTGATCTTCCAACGACACAAGGGTAAATAAATTGAAAAATAATTCGGTTTAATTTTCGTTTTCTTTTTCAGAGGACAAGTACAATGACGTATGCAGCCGTGTTTTCTATGCTGCCAAATGTTTATACGAACAAGATCCACCAAATTTTGTATTTCCGTGACTTAATAAAGCAATTATGCGTTATATTTAAACGTTTCAATCCATTTTAAACAAAAACTAAACAAACAAGTCACTGACCCGACCATAGACGGCTTAGTGATGGCCATTTGTAATGCCAACTACAAATCGATTAATTAATTGAATGAATAGATATGTTCAATTGAGTAATACTGGCGGTTTTCCTTACATAACCTATGTAAGCATATTTAAAATTTCAAATTAAATCCTCCTTCAAATCCTTACACTTAAATACTCGTTCAGTTGCGATTGAAATATTCGATTTAATAATCGATTGCATAAAGATTTTAAGACTTTCGTGGTTATTCACTAAATGATTACATAAACTTTAATATATTGAACCGAATGTTTTATAGGCAAGTCATAGAAGTATAGATGAAAAATAACCTCACTTTTGGACTACCATTTTTCAAATACGATTTTACGATGCTATTCAAATAAATATTGTTGGAAAAAATGATGAGATATTAAGTCGAAATCTTCGAAATATACGTGAAAGTGTCGCTTATTCGATTTATTTAGTGGTTGCTTTAGAATTTTAACCAAACAGTTTTGTTTACCTTTTGTTCAAAATGGATTGGAACAGACTATAGTTGGGGCTGATTCTAGTTAGTCTATGGATTAAAAATAAAAACTACGGTTTTGTGACATGCGTGAGAAAAGTTTTTATTTGCCGCCATTTCGGCAGTCGTAACATGCGGTTCCTAAACACATGACAGAGAGCTTATAATATGTGGTAGATAAAGCAGTGTACGTAACTGTACATAATTAGACATTAAGACCCTCACTCGTGTTTTAATGCCTTTCATTATGAAACAGTTACATAAACTACTATTTTAAGTTCTACAATGCGCTGTTGGATGTCCTTTATAAATAAATACATATATAAATAAATAAACTAGTAAAAAGAAGTAGTTTAGTAGAAGAAGAGCCCATACCCAAATCGCAATTCTATCAGGTGATCATATTGACCTACCAATAGGTCAATGGGTGATCAGAAATTACTTAGGAGGGTATGCATAGGGTGTAGCTACCCAGTAATAATCCGTGGCGTGGACAACACCGTGATTCGGTCGCAGCAAGAAGCGATAGCACACGGGCGCTGTCCGTTTGCTGCGTCGTCATTAGTAGCAGTAGAGCTTCTTGTGAAAGAGTTCGTCCAGGGTAGTACTGCCACCTTACCTACTTCTGCCGCCAAGCAGTAATGTCAGTATTACTGTGTTGTAAGTGTAAGGATGCTGGTGTAATGGCTCATGAGCCTTGTCAACTTATGTCTCGGGGTGACGGGCGCAGCCCTCAAGATCTTTGCAATTTAAAGCTCTGAGTGGCACTGTAACTGTTATAGACAGGCTACAGCTTACCATCAGGTGTACGATTTGTTAGTCCCGTCACTTGACGTTATAAAAAAAAAGATCTTGGTACTTGAGGTAACGGGCTGGCGTCCGCAACTCGACGTCTATGCATCTATTTTGCGTGTGGTATAGCATACGGCGGCGTTATAATAATAATAATAATTTATTTAATTCAGACAACATTTAAGGTCCATTTTAATGATATCAACGCACCGAGTGCCACACAAGTAATGCGGTGTTTTAAAGTAACGTAAAGTAACGTTGCTTTGTTACGCACTGCAGCACCCTTCGTCTCCTGGCCCCGTGTCCGTTGCTCATTCGTCGTTTCAATGCACCATGTGGCATGTAGTTCTGATTTATTACGTAGTACAACGCATCTTTACCGTCCAGGCGTCGCGTCGTCGCAACGAATACGCAACGCGTCGTGTGGCGTCGCTCTAATCTTTTCCATACGTTTTATTGAACCCCTACGGCGCCGTAAACACGCGTTCGAGAAACGCCTTCATCCGACCGTAAAAAATACGTCATGTGCGTAGGTTCTTAGCGTACGTGTGCATTATCTTTAGAGCAAAACAATAATATGGAATCGTTTAGAAAAAAAAATTACGTATTTGTTTTTTGTCTTTGAACTAGGTAATAAGTAGGTAGACAATAAAGTCATCATCGTTTATGTAGCAGCCACAGACGTGCCAGAATGCCTAACCCTCTTCCGACATTCAGGCACGTCTCAGTGCAAGCAAAAGTAACAACCATGCCTTGTGAATCAGCATAAGACACACGTACCAAATTAGTATAAATAAGTAGCTCAAGTAAATATACCATCAGTTATAATCAGTTCATACATTAATATATAGTCATTTACCAACCCACGACTCGTCTATCATTCTCCCACTAAACTACCATGGCGAACTGGTGATCACCAACACCTTTTCACCTGCGCCATGGTAAACTGGTGACCCCGACGACGAAGAACACAACCCGACGACGAAGAATACCCCAACTGGAAGAACAATACCCCGACTGGAAGAACAAAACTGTTATGTAGTTTATGTAACTGTATGTTTTGAAAAACAAATTAGCTTCTAATTGCTGGGTGTTTATTTTTGGAATAATTCGGCGTTTTGTCTGTAATTTGTACATTTTGTTTCAATGATCTCTTTAACAAGACTATATCAAATTACAACAAAATGTGTACATACCTATACATTGGAATTTAAATTTATATTTTTAACCGACTTCAAAAAAAGAGAAGGTTCTCAGTTCGACAGTATTTGTTTTGTTTGTATGTTACGCGGTTGCTCCGTCATTTGTGAACCGATTTTGGTGATTCTTTTTTGTTGGAAAGAGGGTACCTCAGTGTTGGTCCCATTTAAATTTCAAGAAAATATTCTATCTCTAACCGCTCACGCGATGAGCTCATCCTACCGCAAAATGGCGGCTATTTGTTTTCGCAAATTAGAAAAGGATTCAGTTTAAATACAAGTTTTAAAAAATAAAAATTATTATTCTGCATTGCTAAATAAATACCCTCCGTACTACAATAAAAACATCTCAAATAAAATGCAGTAATACACCGCAAATCCTGCACTTAAAAAGCACTAATGAAATTTTTGGTGTACTTGGGTAAATATGATAATATTCAGTTTGAGTGGTTCTAATGTTTACCATGAAATTACTCCTTAAAGTATAGTTTATAAACATTTATATTACAAACAATAACACACACGATTGTCGTGACGTATTTTTAAAGTCGTTTATTTTTTTTTAATGACAGACCCAGGCATTAAAAACTTTATGGTTTGCTAGAGTAGTTACCGAAATAGCAATTAGTATTAGTTCTTTTACCTGTTATAACTTCGATTCCGATAAATCGGTATAAAATCATCACCGGTACCTCTAGGTGAGGTATGCTTCCAGAGACGCATGAATCGCGTGAGCGGTTATAGGTGGCAAACCAGGGGACGAATCCGTTTTCACACTCCGGTAACCGATTTCAATAAAACTTGGCAAATAGATGTAATTCCACGAACTTTTCAGGTGGGTTTTTTTAATAAAAGGTAGTAATTTCGAATTCGCGTATATTTGTTTTATTGTTTTAAAATCAACAATGTTTCGGTCACCATTGATTCAGTCGCACCTAAACGTAGGCAGCGGTTCCAACCTTATATTGTAATTTTTTTATGATACCTAGCTACGGGATTACTAGATCGTGCGCCGGCGACAAGCTAAGAAAATGTTAAGGTGGCAAGGCTTTAAATAGGTAACCTATCACAAAGTCGAACACTTTTTGTCCGAAATAACGTTTGTTCGAATTTTCATTACACCGAAAACCGAATTATAACGAAACAGTTGTTCTTTCAGGATATGTTGAATGTTTATCGCTAAGACACGATTCGGTTCGGTTAAGTTAGGTTTAAAAGAAAAAACATTTTCCTCTCAAAATTACATTCGAGGTTATGAAATTTCGACCAAACGTTATTTCTGGAAAATGTCACTTCGGATTAGTGATAGGCAACCCTTTAAATCGCATAGATATTAGGGGCACTGCCACTGCGTCCGTCACCCTGAGACATATCTTGACAAGTCCTACGTGCCTGTAATTTCACATACCCAAAATACACGCGAAGCGTTACGCTTCCACATGTATATGTACGGAATTGGAGGGGTATTCCCTGCTTGCAGATTAGTTCCTGGAACGTTAGAACTTAGGCCCTTTCAAGGCGAGAGTGAATAGGCATTATAAAGGTGTCTCTATCGTCGAACTCATCGTCACTTTCTGTCAGGTGAGAAGGTCACAGACGCACCTTATTTTAACCAAACAGGGAACCCGAAACATTGGTTTGTTAGAAGAAAATAAATATACGCGGTTAAGGTTTGAATCAACGGTTTCGAATGAATTTTTTTAGTGTTCGATCCATTGACTTACAAATAAATGGACGACGGGTCTAATACACAAACGAAAAAAATGTCCCAAGTCAACCTATTTAAACGTAGTGACATGTAAAGGAATATGAAAAAGCTAAAACGTTGAATTTAAATTGTAATGTCATCGCAGTACTGTCTAATTTTGCTTGCTTCGCTGTCAGTCGAACAAACGAAGACTAAAGCGTGAATGACGCTCTGTATACGATTTTAACGCCCTATAAGTTCAGACACTTTTTAGCGCGGACCCGACGTCCATATAATTGTAAGTCAATGGTTCGATCTATATATTAATCTTCTTCTTCCTGTCTTTATCCCATACTAGATGGGCACGACATGTATTTTTCTTCCACTCTCCCCTATCAGCCGTCATTTCCATACACACCTTTCTTATCCATGTCGTCTTTCAGACAATCCATCCGTCTTTTCTTTGGCGTTCCTTTCCCTTTATATCCCTCCACATTCATTCTTCTCTCCGCATGACATGTCCATACCATGCCAACCTATTATTCCCCATCTTTTCCCCTGATGTACTCATTCCTTATCTTATCCTTTCTCGTCCATGCAGAGTTCGTACATCTTCCCTTTTCATCGCCCGACCTTTGTATTAATAATTTAATAAAATAGTTGTTCTACTCTGGGTGCTTTCAGTGAAGCCTTTTGCTCTGACACCTCACAGGGAATATCTTACTTTGATGCCAAGAAATTAGAGGTGCTTTTTTTTCTCGAAACAACTGCCTTGAAGTGTCATTAGATACGGGATACAAGAGTTCATGCAACAACTTCGTTTTGAAGTAAGTTTTAAAGGTAATGTGAGTCTTGGAATTATCAGCATAATTTTAAGGATTATCGGATATACCTGTAACTGATACTCTTTAGTAAAGTTCAAAATACTGCGTACGATGTTTTGGAGAGCGTACGTGCGTC